CAAACGCCACCCCGAGTGGGTTATGAGAGACGATAAAACAAAGTATACATTAAATGATAGAGATGAAGATATATAAGGTAATAAGAAATACATAGCCATATAAACACATTCATTTACAAGCAAACATATCATCATATTAACACATTATAACATTTACATTGACACAGATGGATATAGACCCGTGAAGATCCGGGGTAGAATAGGTCTTCAGCAACCCATTCTTGTCATAAAAGGCGACTATGCTTGTCGTAAAAGGCGACTAACGGGATCGGGTGGTCAGGTTCGCTGACTTGGTTGACACATGTCATCGGTTCCCAATTGCTCAGATCGATGCTCATGCTGTTGATCACTGAATTGTCTGGTCCAGACTCGATTATTTACAGACCGCCGCCATATAGCTGGAATATTGCTGAGTGCGGCGTAAAACTAAACTCACTCACTTACTCAGATGGATATATGGCATAAATGATATATAAATATAAAAAGAATAGATAAATACACTGTACAGCATAGAATAGATCAAATATTTGGGATAAAATATACATAATCTATGAGCGGTAAAATAACACGATTAAACATTTTAAAACACATTTTACCTAAGAAAAACATAGCGGTATTATCATTCAGCAGAGCCATTGTGGGAAGGGCCACTCCGGGCATAAACCTTCAGTCACTGCTATTTTGCATCTTGCACTCAGTGGAATCTATTTAAATAGGGAGCGCTAGGGTAGCCTAGTGGTTAATGCGTTCGCTCGTCACGACGAACACCCGGGTTCGATTCCCCATATTGATATGCTTGGAAAATTGATAAGAGCGGCGTAAAACTAAATTCATTCACTCATTCACTGTTTCGGTGAATAATCGTCTCCATGGAATCATAGATGGGACATTGTCGCTATGTCGCATTGTCTCGCTTTAAATAATATTATTTTTTTATTCAACCAAAGGGCGACAATGCGACATAGCGACAAATGGCCAGAATGTCGCATTGTCGCACGTTGGTCAATTTTGACACTTTTCCTTGTATTTGTAAGGGCGACAACGCCACCATGTTTTTCTGGGATTCCATACTATACAGAATGTATCGTTGAGCAAGGATATTCTTTAAAGGAAATATTGTTTTGTTATTTTGTGTAGTAATGGTATATTGGTGCACAGTTTAATATAACGGGCTCTTGGCAATGGTTGGCAACCCAATGGTTGATGGTAGGAGCATCAGTCTACGGAGTAGGGTCAACTACATTGTGCATACTTACTGTAAACATTATCTTTGTAGTCAACTCTAAGGTGAGGTGAGATGAGGTGAGGTGAGGTGAGGTGAGGTGAGGTGAGGTGAAATTGGGTTTAACGTCGTGCTTGAGAATATTTCGCTCTTAAGACGACGTGCATGCATGCGTATGTGTATGTGCGGCTACTTGTACTAGCCCAGACTGAAGCTGGTTTTATAGTGCTAGCTCACTGAGATACCATGCCTCAGTGAAGCATGAATACCCCACTCAGACACATTATACTGACTCTGAGCCGACCAGTCCTTGATGTACCCATTAATGCCGAGCGCCAGGCGGGGACCAACAAGTACCGTATTTTAACGTTTTTGGTATGACGAGGTCGGGGATCGAATCCGCGACCTTCCGCTCTCCGGACGCTCTAACCACTACACCACAGAGGCGGTCTCAGCTCTAAGGACATGCATGAATATTTAGTACATATTCACGTTTGGTATGCCTGTAGTTTTTAGCAATATCTTATTTTAGATGTGACCCGTGAAGAACCGGGTTAGAATTGGCCTTGAGCAACCCATGCTTGTCGTAAGAGGCGACTAACGGTATCGGGTGGTCAGACACGTTGATGTATATGCCACATGTCATCGTATCCCAATTACGTAAATGGATGTTCATGCTGTTGATCACTGGGTTGTCATGTCCCGACTTGATTATTTACAGACTGCCGTTATATAGCTGGAATATTGCTGAGTGCGGCGTAAAACTACAAACCGAACCAAACTGTTATAGGTGTGAAATCAAACCGGATCCTCGGTGTGTTGAGCTAATGCTTTTAACTTTTTTTAAGCAACCACCGGCAACCCTACATCAAATATTTAACATATAGACTGACTTACTGACTGACTGAGTTTGGTTTTACGCCGCTTTTAGCAATATTCCAGCAACATCACGGCGGGGGACACCAGAAATGGGCTTCACACATTGTACCCATGTGGGGATTCGAACCCGGGTCTTCAGCGTGACGAGCCAACGCTTTAACCATTAGGCTACCCCACCGCCCCTTTAACATATAGAAATGATAATATACCGATAATAGTAATAATAATAACCATAAATACAGATTCACGATAATAATAATAACAATAATGATTGGGATGATGTTTCATAAAAAATACAAATAAGCTATCATCTTTCATCGAATGATTTTCATGAACACCGTTTACTATTTTTCTGAATTCTAAATTATTTTATTTTTTATTTTTATTTTTTTCCCATTTTTATGTTACAATTTCCATCACAGCAACTTTATGTTCTCCAATTGAAAGTATTTTAAGTGTACAGTGAATAGTGTTGATGTAAATACATAAAATTATCTTCAAATTCAATTGTTGTTGAACCTACTCCATCTGTCCAGGGTATACGTTCCGATAAATCTCCGCTATGGGAATGTATACCCTGGACCAGAGACCATATAATAGAGGGACGGCCCTCCCCAACAGTGTATCACTAACCATCAGCGCTACGGCCTGGCAGTGTATACATTGCCTCTTATATATAGTACACATACATACAAAGTACATATACAGTCAGTCAGTTATAGCATTTCGAAAAAGTAAATGGAAGGATGACCAGAAAGAATGAAAACTTGCATAGTTATAGTTAGACAACGCAATAAATTAAGAAATTTCATAATATTTTAATACTTCTTGTTGAAACCATATAAAATTGGGTTTCACTGATTTCTTAATACATTTATACAACATATATTTGATTATTATTATCACCACATTAAGAGGATTATTATGTTTACCTTTAAATCCACATAACAAATGTTCTTCACTTAAATGAATTTTACTTTCCATGTATCCTTCAATCCATTCAGTAAATTTTGTCCAAATATCTATTGCATATTGACAATTACAAAGCACATGTGCTATAGTTTCAGCTGGATCGTTACACAATGAACATGCTGGTGACTTGACATAGCCAATCTTATATAAATAACAATTAGTGCTAAGAATATTATGTAAAATCTTAAACTGAAACCATCTTCATTCACTGCTTTGTGTACATCTTTTTGCCATCACACTATAATTTATTCATTCTGTTTCAGTAATGTGTTTATTAAAATAAAGCTCCCATTTGCTATAGCTTTTAAGTTTTGTAAATTTGGAATTTTGCAAAATTTCATAAAATAATCTACTACCTGAAGTACTGGTGATTTTAGAAATATTATAAGGTAATATTGGTTTTTGACAGATCTCTTGCATTTGACTAAAGTTAATTCTTTGTAAGCATTGGGCGATAGATTGTTTCAACCACTGAAATGTTAACAAATCTTTATTCAAAGTATATTTTTGAATAAATTCATGGAAATTAAACCAATTTCCGGTATCGTTGAAGAAATTGTTAATGTATGTTATACCTTTTTCATACCAATGGGAAAAATATACTGGCTTATTATCAATTGTTATGCTATTATTGTACCAAATTGACTTATTCATTACATCCGTAACAGATAGTTCAATATTTTCACAACAGTTTAAATATGGTGCATCTAATGACAGAGTTTCTTTCCAAAACTGGTTGTGGATATTTTGGACAACATTGTTTTCTATGTAGAAAGCATCAGCCAAATCTATTATTTTTACCTCAACTAAATGATCATAAAAGAAACATGCCCATTCGGACTTAATAACAGATGGTCTTTTGATCCAACAAAGTTTCTGAGCTGCAATTACTTTTTCTAATATGGCTACACTTATGCCACCATACTTAGGCTGTAATGACATTGTATCTCTCTTGACTTTATCTGGTTTAAATTTCCAAACAAATTGAAAACATTTCATTTGAAAAGATTCTATTATATTTTTAGGTGGGCTTGGTATACTGCTGAATAAATGGTTTAGTTTAGGTAGTAATACTGATTTTAACACAATATTTCTACCCATTGGTTCTCTTTGTCTAATGTTTCATTTCTTTTTCAATGTTTTCTAATTTATTTATATAGTTGAGATTAACCATATTTTCGTAATCAATATCAAATTCAATGCCTAATAGCTTAAACTGTGTTTGTGTCCAGTCCAACTTGAACTCATTACAGAGTTTGTATCTTGATCTCTTTTTGGAACCTATCCATATCAATTTGGTTTTTTTCTGTGTTTAATCCTGAAAATCTGGCAGAAAGGATAATGTACACATTGTAGAATAGAGACATTTTTCTAATCCATCTAAACTGAGAGTGGTATCATCTGCAACTTGTGTTAAACGGGAATATATATTACCAAGTATTAATTCTGTTATATTTTTATTATTTCTTTACATTACTGCTAGGATTTCTGCGCATAATATGAAGAGATAAGGTGATATAGGATCCGATTCTAAATTAATATCCTTATAAGAATTGAAACATATATTTAACACATTCTTCAGTGAAATCTCCCACAAAAACATTAAATGCAAACATGTTATTTCAGATATAAACACCAGCTGAACGGAAACAGACGACAGCGCGTGCTGGGATACTTCCGGGAGAGGAATACGATGACGTCACAGCGCGTTACCCGTTCGGGTAGGGTGTCTGTACCCCGTCACAAGGGCAAGCTCCTTACCCGGGGACCGTCACGACCGTCACTGTAGCTATCGACTTGGGAGGGGATCTCACAGCAGGGGAGCAGATAATCCCTTCAACAGGGCGGAAATGGATAAAAACACTCAAGTTCACGACACCAGCCGTCAGTAGAGGCGGTTTAGTCGCGATAAGCCTGCTATGTTTAACAGGAGTATTCTGTCTTCAATCATTCATGTTACAAGGCTCAGAAGAAATGGATTGTCGTCATTATGAGTTCTCATTACTTCAACGATTTCGACTGCTGCAGCTCGGAGAGTTATTTCTTGAGATTCAAATATGTTTTATGACTTATAAAGAAGAACTGGGATCGACGAATGCCGATGGAGACATCTAAATAATCAATAGTGAAGAAGGACCAGCTTGACCTGAGCTTAGTGAACTATGTGAACGTTCTCGAAGGGATTCCATATAAACGGGTTGTCATAGTTCAGGTGTGTAATTTCAGGGTACATCATTCCAAACAGGACCATTTCAGTACTAAGACACAGGCTTGGTAAGACACAGTTCACTTGTTGGAAGACACATTTTAGTCTTGGGAAGACACATCCCAGTCTTGGAGAGACACAATTCACAAGTGGTAAGACACATTTCAGACTTGGGAAGACACATCCCAGTCTTGGAGAGACACAATTCACTTGTGGGAAGACACATTTTAGTCTTGGGAAGACACATCCCAGTCTTGGAGAGACACAATTCACTTGTGGGAAGACACATTTTAGTCTTGGGAAGACACATCCCAGTCTTGGAGAGACACAATTCACTTGTGGTAAGACACATTTCAGACTTGGGAAGACACATCCCAGTCTTGGAGAGACACAATTCACAAGTGGGAAGACACATTTCAGTCTTGGGAAGACACATTTCAGTCTTGGGAAGACATATTTCTGACGAGGATACATTGCAGTCAAACAAACAATACTTCAGCAAACTTGAAGAAGATCCTCATAACTAATGTCCATTGAAGATTTACAGAAGAGTGTATTTGTGTACAGCACCCTGACGCTAATCAAGAGTATATTGATAACCGAATCTTGTCTGTGTGGACAGTAAACCACGCCACATTGCGTTGCAATATTTCAACGTTAAACATGCTGCCCATCGTCTGAATGAATATGTAAATCAATTTAACGTGAAAACACCAAAGGAACCCTCTGAATCAGGGGATTCAGATACAGACTTGCAACATCAACAGAAGTTATGATAGTGTGCCAGGATGGGGATGGAGGTACTTATATTCGCGTGCATATTTCCAGCCGTGTACCCCCTGCATGTAGCAATACCTCTTCCTATTTCACCTGACAGTGGTTCGTTCCCCTCCTTGGAACTAGCCAATGCCACAGTCCAAGTTGCTCTAGAGAAGACCGGAGCTGTCCATGTGAATGTCAGCTGGTTAGATACCAAGGAGGATGAAGAAACTGCCCTTGGTGTTTGTGTGGACTTAGTGAAGAGCAACAGTGTTGACGTCTTTATTGGTCCTCCTTCAACGAGTAGTGAGTATTGTCTTCTTCTTGATCTGAACCAGGGTGAGTTTAGTTTTACGCCGCTTTTAGCAATGTTCCAGCAGTATCACGGCGGGGGACCCTTGAACTAGGCTTCGCACGTTGTACCCATGTGGGGAATCGAACCCGGGTCTTCAGCGTGACGCGCAAACGCTTTGACCACTAGGCTACCCGACCGCCCTTATTGACCAGGAGTGAGTGAGTTTAGTTTTACGTCCCTTTTAGCAATATTCCAGCAGTAACGGCGGGGGACCCTTGAACTGGGCTTCCCACATTCTACCCATGTGGGGAATCGAACCCAGGTCTTCGGCGTGACGAGCGAACGCTTTAACCACTAGGCTACCCCACCGCCCTTAGTGACCAGGAGTGAGTGAGTTTAGTTTTACGTCGCTTTTAGCAATATTCCAGTAGTAACGGCGGGGACCCTTGAACTGGGCTTCCCACATTCTACCCATGTGGGGAATCGAACCCGGGCCTTCGGCGTGACGAGCGAACGCTTAATCACTAGGCTACCCCACCGCCCCAGTGACCAGGAGGTTGTGTGGTAATACTTATATAAACATGACCATTCGTCTGACCGGACGACGCCCCCAGCTCAGGACCACGCTATACTTACTATCACATGGTCTACAGCTTTTTCAAAAATTTTAAAATCTACACATTTCAAAACAATATTCTTTAGTTTAAACACATTTTATTCACAAAGTGAATAGGATAAGGATCGGGGACAAGTTCTTACAACTTATAAAACCCCTCTTCAAAGATATTTACAATAGCAAATTTCTGCACAAGCAATTATAGGAAACAGACACAGAGGAAGACCAATTTTACTTTTCTACTGGCAAAAACATTCAGGACAAGACAAGAGCGTTCATATTCTCCGGGGGCGCTAGTCCAGTGGTTAGAGCGTCCGGTCGTCACGCCGAAGACCCGGGTTCGATTCCCCACATAGGTACAATGTGTGAAGGCCATTTCTGGTGTCCCCGCCGTAATATTGCTCGAATATTGCTAAAAAGCGGCGTAAAACCCAACTCACTCACTCACTCATATTCTGCCGACCAGTTTGAAGTAAACCAGAACTCAAATGTCGTATCAGCCAAATATGTCCTGTTTTGAACGCATATGCTAAGGCTAAGAAAAGTATGTGTTGCAGTCTTCATTGACAAGTACACGGGACTTTCAACTGATTTTTAACGTTTGTCCTTGCCCCCGTGATTTAGATCAGTAATATTCTCTTTCAGCTCAGTATATTTAAGTTGCTTAAAATCAAATTTAGTTTGATGGTGTTATATTTGTTGTTGATATGAATCTGTCTGCGTGATTATATCTTTTCATGAATGTTTAACACAGGTATTGATCACGAAGTTTGTTTATCGGCTAATCAGTTGAGAAACCATTTTGCGTGACTTAATTCTATTATTTGTCTTCTTGAAAGTTCATCGAATTCTTTTATTTCTAAACAGCAACACTATGAATGATATATATACAAGATTAGGTAACCCTAAAATAAACATTTTATCTGCAGTTCGGTCAAAACATGTATAGCCCGCAAGGTCACATATGCTCGGAATCGTATACATACCGAATATATACTGAGAGAAACAAATAAAGGATCACAGGAAGATTCAAGTGTTCCTTTAATATTTTCCAGTTTTCATCACCAGCTTTGAATAGCGGTGTGGTGATGAAAACTGGAAAATAATAAAGGAACACTTGCATTGTCCTGTGTTCCTTTATTTGTTTCTCTCAGTATATTACACGTGTGCGTTATGGATTGCTGTAATAAAGTGTAAATATCCTGTTTTCGAGAATAGATGTGACCTACAGGTTTCGCTCGTCACAGACACATGCAAGGGCAATCAAGCGTTCAGCTGAACGTGTCTACTATTAAACGTTTATAACTTCTAAGGTCTTGGGTCGCGTGGGCATGGTCATACAACTTTTGAGTAAGTTTCGTATGACGCTTATTAATATATAACGGACTATTCACTGTTGTACTTAAAACGTTGAGAAATGTTCGCGTTAAAGACATCAGTTACTGCAATATTGTATTTATAAAGGAAAAATTGGAAGAGCAGTTGAAGACTATATATCAAGAAAGGTATATGCATGCTCATACCATAATTAGAATTGTATAGTCGGCGCTCATAAAAATAAAACCATTAACTGTTGTTCGTAAAATGTTGAAAAATGGTCGCGTCAAAGACATCAGCTGCTGGAATATTGCTTGACATAAAGGAAAATTGGCCTATTGAAAAGAGCAGGTGAAGACCATACATATCAATAAAGGTAGATGCGTGCTTATATCATAATTAAAATCACACAATTGACGCCCATTAAAAAAAAATAGACCATTCACTGTTGTACGTGAAACGTTGAGAAAGGCATGAGGTGTTGGAATATTGTTTGGCATGAGGAAAAATTGTTCTTTGGATAGTTGAATACTTTATATCAAGAAAGGTAGATGCACGCTCATAACATAATTAAAATCGTACAGTCGACGCTCATTACAATATAAAAGACCATTCAATGTTGTACGTAAAACGCTGACAAATATTCGCGTCAAATGCATCAACTGATGGAATATTGCTTGACATAAAGGAATAATTGGAAGATCAGTTGAAGACTTTATATCAAGAAGGGTAGATGTATGCTCATATCATAGTCAAAGTCGTACAATCAATTCTGCTCTTGGCAGGAATGTCTTGTGGTTGTACAAGGTTGTCATTTCCCCCAGTCTTATTAATGATTAATGCTGCAGATCATGCAGCGATAATAATAGAAGGCATTACTGTCGTCACACCATCACATGAATTATGCTTTTCCATTTGCCTGATTTCGATGACATTACAAAACAAACGATTGTACTGTACATGTTCAGCGAGGTGATGTTTATTAATCCATAATGTGAAGACGTTCTTCAACCATTATACGTCTGATATGGGATGCATTATATATGTGTGTGACGCAAATACGATTTATTACGATTTCTGTCAAGACAGAACACATGAATCACTTGATAGCAGTTATCATGTTTCGAGGTTTACTTCTAATGTTAATGATTATCCCCTTACTAAAAGCAATAGCTGTTGGCAGCTTGGCTCCTTGGAGATTTAGGACTTCGGTCCTGGGCCTCCTTTCACAAAGCACTAAGGTGATCGTAAGTCACTGATGTAACCTTAGTGCTTAATGTTCAAGAATGGGAGTTAAGGTTAACCTTAGTAAAGTTTGCTTCGTGAAAGGAGCCCTGGCCCACAACAAAGCACACTTGTGGTCTCACCTTAGGCAAGTGCGTTTGTTCAAACTTGCCTCTGTTCACCCAGCAGAAAATGTGTGAGTGAGTGACTTAAGATTTCAAGATCAAAATAGTTTTTTGTACGTAAGGCCACCGGCCCGTATACATAATGTTTTAATGGCAGGCAAAGTGTGGACATTGCAAATAGTGAAAAGTATCATAGCATTGTGTAATTAGATGCGAGAACATATCAGACTCTTTCAAAATGCCAACAAATGGGATAAATACAGGGCTAATTTTACATGAACAGATATATCTTCTGTTGGTAAAAATCTGATTAATGTTTCCCGAGTGGGGTGACACAAATGTTTCTGTGGAATATACTCCTTTCTCAAACAGACACATGCATCACATGTAATAACAGATGACATTCTCTTCGATACCCGCTATACAAATAGGGCAAAATCTGAAATGTTTCGCTAGTGACTGTTTACCACCAGTGTTAATCATTATGTCTGACAATGTCAAACCAAGTTTAAGTCTTATAACTGCCTTAAACAAAGGTTAAACAAAGTTCCATAGTCATAAGTAATCCCTACTGAAAGAGTCTTTTGCACGATTCCGACTCTACCATAAGAAAGAAGATGCTCATCACGGATTTTCGAAAGCTGAAAAAGTCAAAATGAAGGAGGATATCAAATATATCCTCATCTAGTTATAATATTCGTTGAAATCACTGTTGCATAGATCGTCTGAATGTAACTTGATATTCTCTCTCCGTATTTTCTATAGTTACGAGTACTTTTTTTAGATGTAATGGATAATTTGCTTAACTGGAGTAGATAATGGCCATTTAATGTTGCGTTGGCGTGCAAATGAAAGGCATATTTGTAGATAATTTTGCAATGTCGAACATTTTGAAAAAGGCGAAATAGACAAGACTCACACTTAGTATTACAGAAATTCTGATTTGTCCAAACTGAAAAACAGATCCAAACAGATTTTTATCGCTTGCATACTGGAATGCACATGCAAAGCGCGTGCTTGACATGTTGTCCCTAAGGCAATGGAGAATGCTGCGAATGCGTCAAGCATATCAGGGTATAAATTTTATAATTGCAGTATGAGCACTGTACATGTCTGAACTGATTTAAAAGACGCCAGTTGTAAAATTTTCTTGACATGGCAAGGCGTGAACTTTCATAAAATTCATGACGGCAAGTTATTGTAAGGAAGGTTATTGGACTTCTGAGGAAGCAGGTGGACACCGGTGAAGGGATGGATTGCCCAAGTCCTGGAAGATCGAGGAGGATCATTGACCACGATGGAGAGAAGGAGCTTCTCCACCAGTACCACGGTGAAGATCCGGGTTAGAACTGGTCTTCTGCAACCCATGCTGCACCCACAAGAGGCGACCAACGGAATCGGGGTGGTCAGGCTCGCTGATTTGGTTGACAAATATCATCGTATCCCAGTTGTGTAGATCGATGTCCATGCTGTTGATCACTCGCTTGTCTGCTCCAGTCCTGATTCGTTAGAGACCGCCGTCATAGAGCTAGAATATTGCTGAGTTTAAGAAGGATACAACCAAGCAACGGTACCATCAGAAGGAGGTTGTGAGGTTCTTTGCAGGAAAGTAAGGAAGACAATAGATTAACGTTGATTTGAGATAAAGACAGTTGCGGTAGATACTTATTTCTTAGATTTTCAATACAGGACAAATAAACATAAAATGGAATTCATCTTCAATAATGTA